CTTCACTGAGTTACGCAAGCCCCTTCGCCACGACAAGGCAGTGATCCATGAAGGGGAACAGCATAATAAGAGGGTTTATTCCCCTTTCATTTTTCAGGCTTTGGGGGATTGGGGGGACTTTGAATATAGAAGTTTATATATTAATTATTCAACCTTCATATTTTCTTATCATGCATTACTACAGTAATAGATGTTGGCTCCTTGTCCTCCTTATTTCGAAGCCAACCAAGGTATTTTGTTGGATGAATTTGACTCAAGATAGTGACCATCCCTGGAAAGACTTGACACACCTAGAACGGGCAGAAAGTAATTGAGGGATAAGCTGGTAGGTCACAGCAGAATCCACAAGAGATGACAAGCAGTTTTGATTTTTGTAACAAACTCCTTTTTCCATATAGATAAAATGGAGAAAACTTGGAATATCCAAGAGTGACTTTTTGAATGATTCTGGGTAGCACTCAAAGACATTTCTGGATTCTGACATTTTAATAGAAGAAGTGTGGTTCTGGTTGAACCTGTGGAGTTCTTGGTACTTTCTGAGCTTGGTTGTTTGCTTACAGATGTTTCATTACCCAACTAGGTAACATCATCATCTTACATTTTAATTCTGGACGTATAATTTTGTTCTAGAGCATCAGCTAGTAATCTTTTGAATGATAGTAGTTGAAGATACATTCATATATCCCCTATCCACATCATTTTCATTGAAGTCATTCTTTCACACTGCTATTGAGAAGACCCAACCTTGTTACTCCAGCAACTAACACACATCTATTTATTTACTGTGAAAGACGATTTACAAGCACAAAGCTGTAAAGCACTGTTAAACTTTAATAGGAGCCCATCCACTCCAGGGCATCAGGATGAGTAATCTGTGATGTGTTAAAAGCAGCTACACAGAAGTTTGCTACTTGAAGAATTATGTAAATAATTCTTATCTAAAAAGGCTAAAAAGTCCAAACTATCTGCCTATTCTAGGAGCACAGGGCTAATATATTTGAAATGCAAGTCCATATAGAAAGGACATTATAAGAAACATGATTTATACTTTCAATTTCCTGGGTTCATATGAGCAGCTTCTCCTATACAGGGGAGTTTGAGAGTGTTAGTATTTAAATATCATTGAGGGAAGAAAATTGTATCTAGCTGTAAAAACTCTCTTTATAGCTTTGGAATGGTGGAAGTATTTCATTAGTTTGTTCCCTGGTGATGTTTTGAACCCAAGACTTGCTCTTTTGTGATATTCTCTTCCCTTCAATTTGATTGAACTCCTAGCAGGAGAATCAAATTAGCCTGGTCATATTGTAGAAAGATAAAAACTCATAGCAAGTTTTTAAAATCAGTTTTGGCTTTCCACTTCAATAATGTTTCTCTGCTGGAACTAAAGGAGCTCAGCCTGCAGGCCAGGGGTGGGTGGGTGGGTGGTGGATCTTAAGGCAATAACTGACTGGTTTTAAGCCCTCAGTTCTGTAGAGGTATCCTGGCCTCTAGTCTAAGTTCAGCACTGGATATGTATCTTGAGGTGGAAAGAAGCACTGACAAAGCTTCATTTCAAATATAGCATAAAAATAGTCTTGCAGAATTTTCAAGAATAATTCATGATGACTGAAGCTGTGTGCACAAAAAAAGTCTCTTTCTGCAAATACAAAAAAAAAAAAGTAAATGTGATAGTCGTTAAATTGCTAGGAAAGACTGTTGGTTGGCATTGGGAAAAACTATTTTTTGAAATGCATCCTGTGATCTTTTTTTTCATTGATTCCACTTGCATACTGCACAATGAGAATGGGTTGAGATATTACCATTCTAACTTACCAGCTGTCTAACTTAGAAAAAAGTCTCCTTGAAATCTTAGTGAATTAGTAAGAAAACAAGTGTATACATCAAAATTTGTGAATTATTTGGCTTTATTGGACATGAATAAAGTTAACAAAGTTTAAAATATGTGTGGAATGATGAACCTGAATATTGTACATACACACCAAGCAGAACCTTCTGAAAATGTAGTGTTGCTAGTTTCATATTCAGAAGTTTTAAAAAAGCATATAGATCATCCTATTATTCCTTCCTGTCTTCCTGCCTTCCTTCCTGCCTTCCATTTCAGTCAGTACTATCACCACATCCTAGCTCCAGCATTTGCTCCAAAAGAAATCAATGAAAAGTCACATTTTAACAGATCATCATCCTGAGCTTCCTCAGTGGAACATCATTAATTTTTAAGATTAAATTCACATTTTTAAAAGTAACACATTAGGGATGTGTAGGTTTCCCAAGTTTCATTCCATGAAAGTGGTGATGTAATCTAGTTAGATGCAGCATCATTTCTTTGATATATATTTAATTAAAATATAGGAAGTATCATGTTCTAAATCATATGGATTGTCATACAACTGATATATTTCTTTGCAGGGTGTTGACACAGCATTACCAACATATCCTGGCACTGGTATTTGCTGTAAAAGAAATCAATGAAAACCCACACATTTTGCCAAATATCACTCTGGGCTTCCAGATCTATAACAGCCATTTCAGTGCAAGCTGGACTTATCTTGACTCAATGGAACTTCTCTCCACCTGGAAGAGGTTCCTTCCAAACTACAAGTGTGATAGCAGGAACAATGCAGTTGCAGTCATTGGAGGACCTAACTCAAATGTCTGCCTCCATATGGGCCCCATCCTAGGAATCTACAAGATTCCACAGGTAAGGAATATCTAGACCTCTGATGCTTCCATTATTGATGTAATTAAAATAAGAAGAAAACTTGTGATCTCTTTAGAGTTAAGACTAACATGTTTATTTTCAACCTTCATATTTGAATGTCAGAATTCCTCTGTTTATAGAGACTAAAAATATTTAGCCACATTTTTTTTCCTGTGTTCAAAAATTTGCAGCAGGTCCTTCATTTCTTTGTAGAAGTTGTGCCCAAAAGGAATTTCAAACAAACAATCCTGTTTGAAAGGCCCATACCAGGGTCTCCTTACCCTGAAGCTGAGATTAATAGATGTTTATCCTTGACTCTTCATAATTTGATTTAGAAGACTCTTAGTTTCTAGAGGCTAAAAAGACCTAGTGATGCTTTCTGTGATCAAAAACCTGCACTAACAGAAGTATATTTGGGAAACTGTTGCTTCCTGTTGCTTCCCTCTGTTGCTTCCCCATTGTTATCTAATAGGAAGCATAGGATTTTGGCAACTATAATGATACAGCTGTATTTTTCCATAAATATCTGGACACAATTTTTGTTTAAAAAACCTTCTTTTTCTTTTTAAAAAAGCTTACATATGGATCTGCTCCAGCACTGGATTACGAAAGCCAAGATGCCTTTGTCCAACAAATGTTCCCAAGAGTCACTCATCAATATAATGGGATTCTTCACTTACTTCTGCATTTCTGGTGGACATGGATCGGGGTGCTTTATCTCGATGATGACAACGGGGAGAGGTTTGTGCAGAATGTCCTTCCCTTTTTCTCTGAGAGAGGCATTTGTTTTGATTTCATACAAAGACTCCCCAAACAAGGATTTGCTGGGGAAATGCAGAAACTTATAGAAGAAGGAGTTGAAACGTACCAGACCATTATGAGAAATACTTCCAATGTTTTGCTCATACATGGAGAAATACAGACTATGCCAGTTTTGAGATTCATGATAGCAGGCTCAGTATATATGGATGTATCTTCAAAGCCAGGCGATAAAGTCTGGATTATGATGGCCCAAATGGATTTCACTTCCTTTGCTTTTCAAGGTACTTGGAGCATTGACTTCCTTCATGGTGCTGTATCCTTGGCGGTCCACTCAAAGAAAGTGTCAGGATTTGAGGAGTTTCTTCAGACCAGAAACCCTATCTCAGCAAAAGAAGATGGCTTTATCCAGATCTTCTGGGAAAGTGTATTTGAATGTTTTTTCTCAACCCCCACCTCAGAAGACTTGTCTGAGAAAATCTGCACTGGGGTGGAACAACTGGAGTTGCTCCCTGGCTCTCTTTTTGAAATGAGGATGACTGCTCACAGCTATAGTATGTACAATGCAGTCTATGCTATAGCACATGCCCTGCACTTCATACGTTCCTTGAAATTCAAGCAAAGAGCCATGGTAAAAGAGCAGAGAGAGCAGCTTCTTAATCAATACTCTTGGCAGGTATATCACAAAGGGAAAATAGCTTACCACATTTTTGTGTGCAAAGGAAGGTCTCCAATAACTCTGAAAGCAAAAGGTGACTACTCTTTGTATGACAGATGTCAACATTGGCTCTGCTTACCATTAGCTGATAAGCAGGCCCATGTCTTGAACCTCAAAGGACAACTGGGGAAGCAGTGTTTTAGGCTTCCTTTCCCTACAGAAAGGGAATGTGGTGGTCAGTGTGTTTTCTTCTACCAATGTGGGAGAAATCTATTTGCAGTGAATACAGCTTTTGTCTGAGTAGATTATCATAAATACAGTATTTGCCTGTGATATTGAAAAGGAGATTTTTGTTTAATGTCGTCCATATATCTCAAAATGATGATAGAAAGTACAGCATTTTGGAAATTGCTAACAGATCACAAAGTTTTATGGAATAATAGGGATCTGCAATGAGAATTAACTTAATGGATAATTTATGTCCTATACTATCAGACAGGATTTAGAACAATATATCTCCCTCTGTCTACTCTGGATGAGCAACTCCATCCTGCTCCAAATTTTGCATCAGTTTGACAATTCCCATTTCTGTCCCTGATATTTAGCCACTTATTCAAAAAACTAAGACTGGGATAACCAATGGTGGTTTGACCATAAGGGTCACTTTGAACTGAAGAAAGACTCTCACAGATGTTCCTAAAATTAATCTAGAATTGTGGAAGGAGGACCCTAAAAGCATCAACGTTGGGGTTATAAATAAATATTTGTTTCAGGTCTAATAATTCCACACTGCTGCAGTTTGGTTCTCTATGTATTTTTTCCAATGTAAGAAAACATTACTTTTGTCAGCTCTTTATCTCTAGCCCAGTGTTTCTCAGCCTCAGCAACTTTAAGATGTATAGACTTCAACTTCCAGAATTCTCCAGCTAGCATCTTAACGTTGCTGAGGTTGAGAAACACTGCTCTAGCCTAAGAGGATATATTAGCCATTCTGTGTTGCTTTTTCAAAGATATAATAGTAAAATTCTCAGTAGTACAATATTATCTGCCTGTTGATCCCTGTGTGCTGTTTTAAATCTTTTCCCCCAATTTGATCTTAGCTTCATCACTTTCTACAAAAAGTATCATTCAACAACAGTGCTGGAGAGAAAATTTCCTTTGACCAAAGTGGAGAAAGAATAGCTGGATTTGATATTATCAACTGGATAACATTTCCAAATCAGTCTTACTTTAAAGCAAAAGTTGGAAAGATTGACCCATATGCTTCTCCAAAGAGTACGTTCATCATTAATGACAATAGCATTGTATGGCCCAACAGGTTTAATCATGTAAGGATCCATGTCTTTCCTGTGGTGTTTCCAGATGTAATGGTATGTGGGAATTACCTTGGGAGATGGGGAAGAGCCACAGCCAGGGAAATGGTCAGATAAGAGCCTGCAGAAGGAATGGGGGCATGGCAAACATCTCAGAAAGGACCCTCCCTAGTTTCTTAGAATTTAAAGGCAAAGGAGGAGAGATGTTCTTTCAGACTTGCAAAATTCTGTTAATGTAACCTGAGGTTAGACAAGTGGAATTAGTTCATACGGGCATGCTTCCTGCCTGGACTATCTCACAAGGCTGACACAGATGTTGCAGCAAAATTTCAAAAGTGACCTATTCAGGGCCAGACTTAACATCGGGCAAAGGAAGTCATTGCCACTGGAGGTAGCTGATGGGTTACAGAGCAGCAATGGTAGTCTCCCAAACAGTCTTGCCTCTCCACCGTAATGGCCTGGGAAGCAATGCTATGCTGCACAAGGTGCCCTAACATGTGTCATATCAGACAGTGTCCTACTGTCTTCGGTGAATGAAAAGGGAAAGGATGCTCTCTTAGCTTTCGCTTTGGGCAGGAGAAAGTCCTTAACAGTTTCGATTCAGATGGTTCTGACTCTTTCTCAGGTCTGTTAAGTGAGATTTATCCAAATGAAGGTTTAAGACAATCTTGAGAGAAGTGCCAGTTTATAGAGGAGTTAAGCAACTGCCAAACCCACCAAACTATGCATTTTGGGGGGCATGAGAGGTGACTAAAACAATGATCATATACCTGTAACACTGAAAGAAAAATCTACCCCAGTTTTGCAGTAATGGAGTACTGTTATTCATTATCTGTTAACATTTGAATTAACAAAGGGACAAAGAAGAAGGCTTTTGAACAATATCGGGAAAAATGGAATTGTGTTTGTAACAAATTTTACCAGCTCCCCTTCCCTTTTTTCTTTATTTTAAATGTATTATGGTTTTTATGTTTTAAGTTATATTATTTTGTTGACTGTATTCCATGCATGTGTATTTTCTTTCGTTAATTAGTTCAGTCCGATAAAATTCATACCAAATAATAATTTAAAAAATCATACCCAAGGACCATAACAACAGCTATATATAAACACTTCAAGGTAATAACATATGACACATAGATACTGTATATACATGTAGCCCACTACATATAAGCTATCTATACAGGCAAGCAACAGTAAGAAAAACCATCAAAGTACAGAAGGTTATAGAGACTTGCACTTTTGCTGTTGTGATAGATATATTGAAAAAGCCTTTGAAACAGGGAACTTTTTTTTTCATAGTTATGATAATTAAACATTATCATTTCAGTAACTCTAAAAGCCAGTACATAAAGAGCATACCTTAACAGTTTTGCCATACCAGCATTAGATTTGTTCTTAATTATATATCCAATTTTGTTTCAAGCTCTCTAGACATATTTACTGACAACTTGATACTCTTTTTTATATATATAAAGACACAACCTATTTCAGTGTGTAATGATAACTGCCATCAAGGATTTTATAAGAGAAAGAAGGAAGGGAAGCCATTTTGCTGTTATGATTGCCTTCCATGTCCAGAAGGGAAGATTTCAACTCAGAAGGGTGAGAAAAATACATACCTAGAGTTTTCAGATGTTTTGATATTAGACATATGCAATTCCTTTGTCTTTACAATGATGTATGTAATTCATCAGCATCATGTTTAACAGTTCAGTTCATGATCTGGTAGTATAAATTTGAGATCAGGTTTGGGAAGGAGCAGGGAGATGAAGAAGAGCGAGAGATTAAATGTTTAA